TTTTTTTTTTTGTGTCTGTTACCACTTTTTCTCAGCTCTCACCGAACCGATTTCTTTCAATGATACGTCAAAAGATCACAAATCGTATCTAGTCGAAGACATTACCCTCAAAAATTGAAAAAAATTCCCTCGTTCCCCGTAAATGGGGAAAACCTCCAAAAAAAATACAAATTTAAAAATCGCTAGTTTTCGAAATTTTTCAATTTTTTTTACTAAAAACTGCCGTAACTTTTTCAAAAATGAACAAATTAATAAAATTTTTTTTTTGAATATATGCTTGATGTCTTTACCTATCATTTGGTATATTTTTTTTGTAAATATGACCCTTTACCTGGACACAGGGGGGGGGATTAAAAATGACAACTTTTTCACAAAAAATTTACTTTTTCAACTTAACTTTTGAAAGTGTTCCAGAAATACTGACATTTTTATATACATCTTAAATTAAAGCTAATATAATATACTTTAATTTGAAAAAAAAAAATTCGACCTCTGGACTTGTCTTCGTGGTGAAAATGGCTACCAAATGCTATTTTTGTGTGAAATTTCTCGATTTTATATTTTACATTTTTAACTTTATTATGCTAATACTTTTTGAAAAATATATGGATCAATACAATTTTTTTATGAGAAATAATATTTTTTAATAATCCCTTTTTTATTCGACAACTTTATCTTAATTAGGATATTAATAATGAACTAGCAGATCATGTAGCTTTTGGAATAATCCACCAATTTTTTAAAATTAAACACTATCTAAAGATTTGCATCGAAGCGTTTTTTTTTTATAGTGATTTTAATCACTGTCAGATATCATTATACTTGATCCAACTATGCCACGTCACCACTGTGCCGCGACCCCCCTGTGCTGGGTTTTTTTTTATTTACTGTTAACACTATATCGTCAGCAAACAACATGTACATGGCACCTCTCCTTGTATTTCTCTAGTAATTTCATGTATCACTATAAAAAATAAGTAAGGGTTTAAAGCAGAATCTTGGTACATTCCTACTTTTACCCTAAAACCTTCCGAGTTGTAACTGACTAATTCAATAAATCCAACAAACGATACTTTGCTGCCCCTGTACACATGCCTATGTTTTTAATTTAATTCAATTGTATATCTAAGCAAATTAGAGAATATTTGGATAAGCTGTAAGTATTTTGATCATAAGATTGGAAAAGTTAGAGTTGGACATCCTTTGATTTTTATGATAGACACAATATTGTCACTCACTTACATTAACAGATTAATACATTGATATATTTTTGTTTTATATACTCTTTATTTCACATTCAATGTTACTGGAGTTACTGGAGGGGAGATTTCCCATGATAGTTAAAATGGTATGACTATAAAATATAGTTTTTATTTAATTTGAAAAGAGCAAGTAAAAATTTCTATGTATAACATAGGACTAGGAATCAAAAAAATATTGGTTATTATTCTTGTATCTAATAAATTAGTTAATTTATATTATATGTTTTTTTTAATACATTGTGAAAAAATGATAACAAAACCTAAAAATATTAATTAATAGTTGGCCTATGAAACATTAATTGAACTTTATACAGTTAAATTTTGAGTTTAGTTAAGGTAATAAAATCAATTTCATAATACTTTTGGTTTTAACAATTTTTAGTCTAACAAATTCTTGAAAAAAAAAAAAAATTAATATAGGCAAATTAACTTACTAAATATGGTCAAAATTTTGGAAATCAAAAGCAATTTGGTTCCTAGTCCTAATGTATAACTTCTCCTACTAAAAGCAAATTCAAAATTATGTCAGAATTGTTACATATTTTAATAACTGGGATTAATCAAAAAATTATAAAAAATTATAATTCAAGACTAATGTAATGAAATTTAAAAAGTCATCTTGTTCAATATATTAATTAGAAACATTTATTTAAAAGTAGATCAAAATAAAATTAAAGTACCATTTTTAATAAATTCTGGTAACTGGTTTGCATACTACTTCAAATTTAATGAAAACTGTAATCAGAATTAGTGGAAAAATTAAAAACTAACTTTACATTTGATTGAACTTAAATTAGATGCTAATAGATTACAATTCAAATCACTAAAATTAAGGATTTTACCTACCTAGTTTTGAGTCAGAGTTAAATATTGAACTAGCTAAATACAATGCATGAATGTAATTTTGTGCTCTTATACTATATTCTACAGCTAAATGATAGTCATGTAATTCTAGTTCAGCAAACTCTGCAGCCTCTTTATATCTTTGTGTTGACGATAGCATTAATACAATATTATTTTTAAATAAACTCTTCTCTGAGTCACTGTAATTAAAAAAAATATATATAAATATATATATATAAGGTTACATTTATTATTTAATATTATTCATACATTTTGTTATTTAAAACACCATATCAAACTCTCCTCCCCCCCAAAAAAACTAGATTTAGTAGTATCTAAATAAATTGATTACTAAAAAAAAAAAAAATCATCATCATCATTATATCATTAGTCTCCCAGAGTTTCTGCATGGTCACTCATTTCGGAAGCTAACAGCAAACAACACATCTAAACATCAGTGCTAAGACAGCAACTGAATTATCCATACAGCACCCCATGCACCAAAGAAAAAAAATAATTTTAAAAATTTGGCAAAAATATTACTTTTGCTAGGAGTGGATTTAATTAATTCCGACATTTTTAATATTTATTTTTAATTAAAATCAATGAAATAGAATTCTTCAATAAATTTATTAAAAGATAAAAAATTAAAAAATCAATTTTAATATGAATAAATCAAAATAAAGTTACATAGAAAAAAATGTGTTACTTAACATACTTGCAGTTAAATTCATAACATAATTGTAATGCTTCTTTCCAATATCCAGCTTTAATAAAACACTCAATTGCTTTTACTTTTTCTGAACTACGACAGTAAATGATTGCTGCTTGTTTGTAATCCATTTTAGAAAAGAGGTCATCACCATAGTGTGTAGCTATCAATTTGTATCTATTATTAAGTTATAAAAAATATTAAAATAATTTAAGTATGTAAAAGAAATTTACTTAAATGTTTAGACAAATATGCAAATTGAAAATAGTGTACTAATTAATTAACAAAATTTAATTGATAATATATAAAATATTTAAACTTATAGAGAAGATAATTTAATTGACAAAAAAGAAATGACAATAAGATGAAAGGAATATTTAAAGAATTTATACAAAGAAAGTAATGAAGTCACAAAGAATTACTTTGTAATGAAAAATGTGTAGTATGTCAAGAAAAACAAAATTGGACTCGTTAAATTAAAAAATGAATTAATAATCAAAGCAGATTATAACTTAGAATTTAATAACATATCAGAAATAGATGTAATACCAGTTGAATTATGGAAACTCACAGAGGAGGAAACTAAAGATGTTTTATTTAAGATAATTTCGAAAACTACTTAACTATGTATAATGTTAAACTTATGCAGAGCAGAACTGTACTCATTTTCAAGAAAAGGAATCATACAGAATGTTAAAATTAAAAAATATTTAGTTTCTTTACACACATGTCAAAAGTATTTTGAAGCGTTATAATACAGAATTAAGAATAAAATGGAAACAAATTAAAGATTGAGATTTTTATTAACAATAATTAATCATCCAGTATACACATAATACAAAGTGAACGATATGATAAATCTAATAACTTTTGATCTATTAAATATATTATGTTACTTTACATTTCATTATTTAATTTTTCACACATTATTTTATTTTGATAGCAACTATTATAATGAAATTTTAAAATATTTGTTTTGGTTGTTCAATACAAAACATTACAACAAAATAATTAGTTGTTTTTTAATTATAATAAAGCTTATATAAATTGGTAATTGGTTTGGTTAAACAATTTACACAGGTTTATCTTAATTTTAACTTTTAAAAAAGAATGAACACATTTATTAATTTTAATTCAATAACTTTAATAATTAATGATGTCCTATAATAAATATAGGTCTATAAAAAAAAAAAAAACTTCCGTTTACAATATTGTAAAACTTGTACAATACTTAATTATGTTCAACCCCTTCATAACCAACATATTGGAAAGGTGAACATAAAAAAGGCAGACATTCCTAGGAGAAAGTATTAAATTGATTGAATGCAATGTAAGTTCACTTGATAAAATTTTAGCACTTAATAGTGTATATGAAAGTTGGTTTTTATTTATTTATTTATTTATTTCATCATTCAAAATGATGATGATTACGCCCATTAGGGCAGACAGTACAGAAATAATACAAATCAATACAAATAATAACAAACTATAAAACTTAAAACTTTAAAGTTATAAATATTAAACTAAAAAAAAAATACAAAATGAATGTAAATAAATATGAAGTGAACATTTGAAAGATTATACTTTGAAAGTAATACGACATGTTGACAATAATAATGTTGACGAATCATGATTAAAATCAAAATTTTTTAATGAATTACATAAGTTTAGCATGCGATTAACTGGCGAATTTTTACAATAGTTCTGCGTGTGGGTAGGTATATAAAACATAGAATTATTACGAAGAAATACTTGAGGAACATTGAATGGTATCTTTTCTAAAATTTCGGGACAATCGATTTTGTTATTGAGTAAATTATACATCCACTTTACATCTAAATATTGTCTTCTACATAATAGAGAGTCCATTTTCAAATTATTAAAAAAAATCTTTTGGTTAATCCTATTGTTATTAAATTTGCCCGATAAAGAGGTTAAGAAATGTTTTTGAATAGATTCAATCTTTTTAATATCGTTAGCTATAAATGGGGACCAAATAATAGAACCGTACTCCAGGCCAGATCTTACAAGAGAAAAGTATAAAGTTTTTAAACAATCAATATCATGAAATTCATTGCAATTACGTCTTATGAATCCTAATGTACGCGACGCTTTATTGTAAATATAGCTAATATGTTTCGAAAAAGATAAATCACAAGACAAAAAAACGCCTAAATCTTTTATGTGATTAACTATAGAAAGGTTAAAACCATTAATTACATATTGATAATTGTAAAAAGATTTAGCTCTACTAAATGTGATTTGTGAGCATTTGTCACTATTTATTTGTAAACCATTTTCAAAACACCATAATATAAATGTATCTAGATCTGATTGTAATTTAAAAAAGTCACTAGGTGAGTTAATTTGTAAGTATAACTTTAAATCAACCGCAAATAATAAACATTTACAGTGATTGAAAACATTACTAAGATCATTTATAAAAATTATAAACAAAAGAGGTGACAAATGCCCACCTTGGGGTACACCAGATGTAGCATCAATATTAAAAGACGTTACATCACCAATTTTGACTATTTGTTTTCTGCCACTGAGATAAGACGAAAACCAATCTATCATAGGGTTACCGACTCCCATAGCACTTAATTTACTTATTAATATAGAATGATTAATACTATCAAACACTTTTTTAAGGTCAGTGTAGATAGCGTCTACCTGACCACCTTTAGAAATAATAGACATTAAATCAGAATAGTAGACAAGTAAATTAGTAACTGTAGATTTAGAAGTTCTAAATCCATGTTGATTGTTTACCAATATTGAGCTAAAAGTGTAATACAATTTTGGTACTAACAACTTTTCAAATAATTTCGGTATAATACTCATTTTAGTTATAGGTCTGTAATTACGTATGTTAGATCTTGTCCCAGACTTAAAAATAGGGTAAACATAACTGGTTTTCCAAGTCGTAGGAAAAATACCAGATGATAAAGATAAAGATAAAAGAAAATGGATTGGATGAGTAAGGGAGTAACGGCAGTTTTTGAGAAAAATCTCAGGAACAAAGTCCGGACCTACGGTCATATTCATATTCAAATTCGATAGACCCTCAAAAACTTCAGTTATTGAGAGATAACAATTCTTTATATCAATGCGTTCAGATATGTTACTAAAAGACCCATTTGTAATATTACTAGAATTTGAATAAACAGAACCAAAAAATTGGCCAAACATATTAACAATGTTATTAATATTATCTGAATGAAAATTATCTAGCTCCAAGGTAGAAGGAAGACAATTTACCTTTTTACAATTTTTTACGTAGGACCAAAAAAATTTAGGATTGGTTTTTAAGTTTTTTTGAATATCATTTAAATAGTTAGAATAACAAATTTTCGAAAGCTTTTTACACTTAAATCTAACTACAGAAAATTCTTCATAAATAGATAAAGAAGCTTTTTGTTTAAATTTCTTGTGTAATTTATTTTTTTTACAAATTAAGGATATTAATTCTTTAGAAAACCAATTTGGAAACGACGATTTACTCAGTGAGGTTTTTGGAACTGATTTTTCAATAACTGAAAAAATCAATTCATAAAACCTATCGACAGCGAACTTTATATTATTGCATTCATACAAGCAAGACCAATTTAAATTATTTAACAATTTATTTAATAAAACATAATCTACATTTTTAAAGTTAAATTTTTTATTAATAGCTACTGACTGACTAGGTCTTATAGTAATGTCAGAGCTAATGTAAAGTGCTGGGTGAAAACTATCAACAGGAACTAAATTATCTTCACTTTTTTTAACACAATTTTTAACAAATTTTCATTATGATTAGAGTGAGTTTCTAGGAAGAAGAATAAATAGAATAATATTTTATTGAAAGATTAAAATAATATACTATTAATTTTAGTTGCTAAGAAGATATAATATATAAATGCACAAATCTGAAAAGGTTGTCACTAATATTTTTAAAAAATCTTACTCATATTGATGAAGACTATACAGAGTTAATGCATGACAATACAAATTGTTATCAATAGTATATTTCAAAATTTCTTCAAATTTATCCTTGCAATTCACTAAATTGACTAACGCTTTATTTTTATTGCCTAATTTATCATCGATGGTAAAACACATATAATGGTAATCCATTTTTTCCAATTTTTTCAAAAATGGTACATATTCTTTTGGATCTAGTTGAGAGTTATCTACACACAAAGTATAATTTTTTTTTTTTAATTTAAATAATTAAAAATTTATAGTAATCACTTACTTATAATTTTCATAGCTATCTCTAAATTATACTCAGAAAGTGATGCTTTATATAGTTGATCAACATCAACTAAAAATAATAAATGTTTTAAATATTCATTTTTTAAAGATGCTAGTTTAAGTGCAAAGTTGTACTGTTTCAATTTTACGTAACATCCAAGCAATGGAAAGGCATACTTATCTCTATCAATTTGATTCATGGTAAGAATCAATTGAGAGCATATCATTTGTACTTTATCATCCAACTCTTTTACATTATTTTGTTGAAACTGAGATACATAAACCGTATTCAAATAGTTTTTGTTTTCCAATTCCATAATGAATAAACTGATCCAAGAAGGGTCTTGTATTTGAGATAAAAATATTTTTAAATCTTTAATAAACTTAAGAGAATTTAGATCACATAGAACATTTAAATTTATACGTTCTTTACGTAATAACTCAAATGCTTTCAAATATTTTTGTTCAGTAATTAAATGAACAACTGACAACACTGTTAATGGTCTTGGTCTGATTGTTTCCAAGTTTCCTCTTGGTAGTTGCAAAATAACCGAATTCCCTGTTGTTGTTATAATTGTTGAACCCATCTCAACTCGCCGTTGATATTTATCATTGTTATCCTGAATATTAAAAAAAAAAAAAAAAAATTTATAAACAGTACTAAAAATGTCAAGTGTTTCATTCCTTTATTCAAAAAACTAATATTTAATTGGTAATTTTTTTTCTAGAATTTTATAAACAAATGAAATTTAACTTTTAACAATGCATATTATTCTGGTATCTCAATATTTTTTTAAATAAAATAACTGCATGTTTTTATTGAAAAACACTTATTATTTCAATTTTTTAGGTTATGTAAAGCTGAGAAAGAAAAACATTTCATTTTACTATGAAATATTTTTTAATTTTTTGTGCCTGTTACCACTTTTTTTTCAGTTTTCACTGAACCAATTTATTTCAACAAATATAACCCCCACAAATGGAGAAAATTCCCTGAAAAACAATAATTTTTAAATTAGTGAATTTCAACTATTTTTAAACATTTTAGCTTCTATGTGAAGCTGAGAAGGTATTAATTTTACTATGATGTGTTTTTTTTTTTTTTGTCTGTCACCACTTTTTCTCAGCTCTCACCGAACCAATTTCTTTCAACAATACATCAAAAGATCACAAATCGTATCTAGTCGAAGACATTACCCTCAAAAATTGAAAAAATTTCCCTCGTTTCCCGTAAATGGGGGAAATTCTCCAAAAAACAATAATTTTAAAATTGGTAAATTTCAATTATTTTTAAAAATTTTTTTACATACAATATTTTTATAAATTGATGAATGAAAATAATTTTTTTTTTTTATAGATAACTAAATTAATTATCTATCATTTGTTATACTTTTTTAAAATACCGACCTTTTATTATACCACAGAGGATTCAAAATGACACTTTTACTCAAAAAATTAATTTGTCAACTTAATTTTTGAAAATTTTTCGGAAATACTGACACTTTTATATATATCTTAAATTAAAGATTATGTAATATACTTTATTTTGAAAAAAAAAAATTGACTTTTTCTCAGTGAAAACTGATATCAAAGAAAGAAATACAATTTTTGTGTAAAGGTCAAAATTGAAAAAAAAATTAATAAACTGTTGTACAAAACCTTTTTAAAAGTGTTTTTAATAAATTAGTATAATCTGCATATTAAAAAAGGGGTTATGCCCCTTAAATTTTTATTCAAAAATATTTATTTTTAATTTAAACTTTTATAAGTTTAAAATATATTTTTAAAAATAATTTTTTTTAAATTTATATGTTTTTAATATTTTAATTTAATATGTGTTTTTTAAAGTCATGAAAATAGGTTGGGTAAACATTTTCTTGATTCTATTGATTATAGAAAAAAAAAATGGTGTGATTTTTATATCATTAAAACTGACTTCATCCAACTTTTCATATGTAGTGAATAAAAATAAAATAAAATAAAGATAAAAAAAATAGCATTGGCGACTGTTTTAATATGAGAAATTGGCTATAAAAGTAAAAAAAATTGTAATTTTCTTTAATAAAAATACTTTTTTAAAGTATACAAGGTTTGTTCAGAAAATAACGAGAATTTTTTTATTCCGCGGGTTTGGAAAGTCTGATTATCAAATAATTTTTTAATATTGTTGATACATATAATCCTGAAGTATGAAAAAATTTTCAGCTGGATTCACTTTTTATTTTGTCAGCGACAGTCACTAAGGTTAGACGTGCTTGTTCTTATAAGTTTGGTGATTTTCGTTTGTTAAAAAAAATTTATCAAAGGATTTGTATCATATTTTGCGTAAAAAATGAAATATAGTAACAACAAGTGTGAAATGTTAACAAAGCCCATTGGTAATTCTGCCATGAGTAAAACAAAGGATTATAATAAGTGGTATAAGCTTTTTCAAGAAGGCCTTGAAGACATTGAAGATGACGAATGCCGCAGCATAACATTAGCCGATGATAATGTGGAAAAAGTGAAAGAAATGGTAATGGTTATTAATAAATCACAATCAGAGTAATCGTTTATGATGTTAGAATATCGATTGGCTCATGCCAAAAATTTTTTTCAAATGTTTTGGGTATGAAACGCGTAGCAGCAAAATTTATTCCAAAATTGCTGAAGTTTGATCAAAAACAGCGGCAAATGGAAGTTGCTTAGGAGTCACTTAATGAAGTCAACGACGATGCAGAATTACTAATACGTGTTATAATAGGTGATGAAACGTAGGTTTTTGGATACGATGTCGAAACTAAAGCTCAATAGTCCCAGTGGAGGAGGCATTCTGGATCGCCAAGACCAAAAATGCTCAACTAGTGTAATTGAATGTGAAGGTTATGCTCATTGTGTGTGTATTTTTGGTCTTAATGTTTAATTAAATAATTTTAATAAAAACCATACTAATCAATTCTATGTAACTCTAGGTGTTTAAATAGATGCTAAAATTAAAATATCTTGTATAGTTATATCTTACAGTATTCTACTATAAAAAATATTTAATATTATTATTATTATAATATTTATACTATAAGAAATAATCCACCAATTTCTTAAAATTAAACACTATCTACAGAATTGTATAGAAGCACTTCTTATAATAGTGATTTAATCACACTTACATAGTGATTAAAATAAATATATAGATGATATCTGACATATCATTTATACTTGTATTAACTATGCCATGTCCACACATACTAGCGACCATACTGTGCTGTTTTTTAATTTTAAAATACCTTACAAAGAGTTGTCATAGTAATAAGAGGCCACTAATTGTCATAAAAATTATATGAATAATTTACATTTAATATACAATTAAATGTATTTTTTTTTATTTAACCTTGTAAATGAAATTTTAAAAAAAGTATCAATAATAACATTTATTTTGACTTTGATTATATACATTTACAACGAAGAACTTTAAGAACATTAATTATATAGAAACTTTGATTATTACCACAGGTGGTATGTGTATTGGGCAAACTGAACATAATAAGAAACGTTATTGTCATCAATGTTGTTTTAAAAAATTATTGAAAACTTAGTATAATTAATATAATTAATGTGCATTACCTTTGTTGAATGAATATTATATGCAATTAGACTTTGATTCAAAGTAACTGCCAATACAAATGGATACTTCAAACAAAACGAATCAACATTATTTAAAATAATACGTTCATTTTCAAAAAGTCTTTTAGATATACCAAGACCATAGATATTGTCTTCCATTACATTAAAATGCATACACTCTTCAGGGAAACTAATAAAAGGATCTACTAAATTTATTTTTTCTTTCCATAATAGTACATTTCCATCTGATAGCTGTATAAGTGCACCTAAGGTATGGTAGGAAATACCAATAACTGGATTGCTAACATTATGTTCCATGCTAAAATATAAACATTAAAAATACATTAATATCTTAAATAAATATCAATATTAAATAATTTTTTTAATGTACTAACATAATTTTTAAATTATCATTTGATGTCGAGGCCACACAAACATGATGAATATTATTAACTTCAGATAAACTAAAAATAAAAGTACTTTCATTGAACCAAAACCAATGATTACACAAACAATTTGCATCCACAGTATTTTTAAATGATTCTAAAAAGATATTTATTATTAAAAATATTATACGTAAAAAAATTAAGTACAATGGTTATTAAACTGTTTTTTCTATAATTTAAAATTTTGCAAGGAATTTGTTCCAAAAAGAACAGATTTCTAAAAAAAAGTTCTTTTTGTAGGAATGAAGCTATAGGAACTACTTATTCTAAAAATTAAGAAACAAAAAATTGAAACAATTAAACAAACTAATTCATTTTTATGGAAAAAAATTACAGTTTTTTTAAATTTTCTTTTTTTTTTCTAGATGTTATGAAAATTACATGTGAATTTATATAAAAATATTTTTAAGAAAAAGTAAAATTAAGTTAAACTCCAAACGTTTTGTTCAAATTGTTATTATGAGCAGAATGATTACAATATACCCTATACATTAATTTTAAAATATAATTTTTATTTTTTAGTATTTATATAATAATAACAGTAGATTTCTAAATATTTTTTCAAAATAAAAAGGGAACTAGTTTTTATTTAGAAAAAAGAATGATGATTTGGAACGAGTTTCTATTTTAGGAATTGAACGAGGAACAAAACAAGTTTCATTTAGAAAGAAATTTTCTTAATACTACAATTTCTATACAACTCAAACATTGTTTTTTTTTTTCCTAAATTTGGAATTTTGTATTATATACACATCTTTAGAAGTTTTGCATTATCAATAAAATTAAAATATTTAATACTTACTGTTTTTTACAAATTCTTGCTTATCATTACTGTAATCATAAATGTGAATGCTATTATCATTGCAAACAATAGAAATACAATTATTTCCTCTAAAAAACAAAATAAGTATATGTCGTATAATAACTCAGTTCTTTAAAAATATAAACAAAAAGATTAAGAAACACAAGATATATATTAAAATAAAATACTTTTACATAGAACTTGCTATATAAAATCAACACGTTAATAATAACACTGTGTCCATTTTTTGTATTTGTGTCAAATTTAATGAGATAAATTGTATTTTGTTATTTTTCTCAGAGTATGGAGACTTAACAGAAAACTTTAAAATTTAAATTTAAGGTCAAAAAATTAAATGAAAAATAAATTATTGTAAAAGCTTATTTTAATATTAATTCAAAATAAATGCTTGAAAAAGCTTACTTCAATATTAATTCAAAATAAAATGTTTGATTTAATAATGAAAATAAGTCTTCTAGATGATCTGTAAAATTATTTAATGGATTTAAAAAATAAGAATTTCAAAATTAAAGAATTCTTTATGTCTACTGCCAATAACCAAAAACTTATCAATACTGATTAGTTGTTTAAAACAAACAACAATATGTTATATTATTCTAGACTATCATTATTTCAACAATTTTAAATACCATAATTTTATAGAAATATAATTCTGTTTAATAATCACACTTTTATTCAAATATCTTAATTATTATATCTATCCATTATCAAGTCTCTATCGCAACTATTTGGTGTTGGCTCTAGCTTATTGATTTGATGGAACTTTATACTGGTTATCAACTTAGCACAACCTCAATATGGCTAAGAAAACCAGTAAGGATGCAAGGTGTGCGTGACTGATTTTCTGTATGGTCACCCATTTGATAACTAACAGTAAACAGTGCAGCTGACACATCAGAGCACTAAGACAACAATCAAATAATCTACTATGCTACACCATGTCCCTATTATTTAAATATCTTAATATTAATTTATAAAGTTGACTATTTTTTTTATCATAAGTCAAAATAGTCAATTTAGAATATGGATAAGTTTTAAATAATTTCACTACAAATATAGAATTACTACAAAATGAATGGTGTTAATTTACTAATAGGGAAACGACTAATAAGATAATGTAACAAAATTGTGATTAATTTCTTGAAAATTCCATTTTATTTATAAGTCTAAAAAAATTCTATGTAAAATTTAAATAATAGGCTTATACATAATTATATACAAAATTTAAATTTACAAGAATATAAATAGTAAAATATAATAATGTACAATAAAAGGATGTCATATAATATGAATAACTTTTTTCTTTTTGAATATTTTCATAAGTTTTTTAAATGAAAAACAACATTTTTATTTATTAGTTGGTAACCATAAGTCTAGGTGCAATATTCATAGACATAAGTTCTTGGAATAATAATTTTGCAGCATAGGGTAATCTGACTTGCGAAATTTGAGTTTTATTTTTACAACCTTTACATTCAAAAGTGTTATTTCTTAAATTGGCAATAGCAATCAACCCACAAAAATTACATATGTGAATACGATAAGGATCAGAAACTTCAAATAAACGTTCACGTAAAAACTGAGCAGCACCATGGGCAATTTGACAATCTCTTTCCATCTCGCCAAACCGTAATCCACCATCCCTATAATGAAAGATAAAATAGTTTTATTTAAGAAATACAAAATAATTTTTTAAAATATATAAACTAATTACCTTGCTCTTCCTTCCATAGGCTGCCTCACTAAAATTTGAACAGGTCCTCGAGCTCTTGAATGTATTTTATCATCTACCATATGTTTTAGACGCTGATAATAAGTAGGTCCCAAAAATATTTGTGCGTTAATTTTTCTTCCAGTAAAACCATTGTACATAACTTCATTTCCTCTTAAATGATAACCATACTCTTGAAGCAAAGTAGAAATCTTTTGTACATTGACTGCATCGTTAAATGGTGTAGCATCACCAATTTCTCCTTTGTTAGCTGAAACTTTACCTTGTAAACATTCAATTAAATGACCAATTGTCATTCTTGATGGAATAGCATGAGGATTTATGATAATGTCTGGAGACACGCCTTCACATGTAAAAGGCATATCTTCTTGTCTATATTGTATACCACAAGTACCTTTTTGACCATGTCTAGAAGCAAATTTATCACCAATTTGAGGAATTCTTTCTGATCTTACACGTATTTTGCAAAATTTGTAGCCTTCAGAGTTTAAAGTTAATAAGACTTGGTCAATAAGACCAGTTTCGCTGTTTCTTAAAAAAGTACTAGCATCCCGTTTGGAAAATTTTTTTGTAGTACCTTCAAGTTCATCTTCATTATCTGGAAGAGTCATAGTTTTCCCAATAATTACATCATCTCCGGAAACTCTTAAACCAGGAGATATTATACCATCATCATCCAATTTATCATATATAGCATTTCTCATACCTTGACATGATGCACGATTAGGCTTTTCAAATACTTCCTCTTGATCACCAATACGTTTTGATTCAGAGTCTTTGTATGAACGGAAGAAGACAGATCTAAAAAATCCTCTTTCTACAGCAGAAGCATTTAAAATAACACTATCTTCTTGGTTATAACCAGTGTAACATAAAATTGCTACAATTGAGTTAATACCCGCAGGAAGTTCTCTAAAACGTAGATATTCCATTGATCTAGTAGTTACGAGAGGTTTATGAGGATAGTAAAGCACATGAGCTAATGTATCCATTCTAACATGATAATTAGTTATATATACACCCATAGCCTGTTTACCCATAGCACTTTGATAAGTATTTCTGGGACTTTGATTATGATCAGGAAATGGTATAATAGATGCACATACTCCCAATATCATAGCAGGATGAATTTCACAATGCGTGTATGTTGTACAATAAGCATACTCTTTTTCTTGTCTTAAATCATCTGGTGACATTGCAATCATTGTAGTTTCTTCTTCTAGAGTATCAATATATTCAACTACACCATTTGATACCAATACTTGCCAACCATAATTATTATAATCTCGTTCTTTCAAACTATCAATGTGACGTTTCTTCAATAGCAGCTTTCCATTTTCAACAATTAGTAATGGTCTACAGATTCGCCCAGCATCAGTATAAATTCTAATTTCACGATCACGTATATCACGAATAATACTAACTTCACTTACAATGATATCCATTTGACGTCGAAGTTTTCTAAGTGTACCCATTAGTTGTTCTGGGTCGCGGTGAATACCAACCCAACAGCCATTAACAAATATTTTTGTTGCATCAACAATTGCTGAAGGAGCAATTTCTTCCAAGTTTTCCATACTCCATTCCTCTAAAAACTCTAAAATAGGGGAAGGTTGAGAGCCAACAGAAATATATGCCATTAATGCTAAATTTTTTACTAAACCCACAGCAGCTCCTTCTGGTGTTTCAGCTGGACACAACATACCCCATAATGTGTTGTGTAACTGACGAGGCTTAGCTAGTTTACCATCTCTTCCAATAGGAGAGTTAACTCGCCTAAGATGAGAAAGAGTTGAAGCAAATGTAAGTCTATTTAACACTTGCGATACACCAGCTCTTGCTTGATGAGCTTTTTTTTGATCACCCCAATTTCCAGTAGCTAAAGAATATCTTAAACCATCAGTTATAAGTTTAGTTTTAATAGCCAAATCTAGATTGAAATCTTTACCACGATCAATAAATTTTTGTGCATACATACGTACTTCTTTCATTAAGTTTTTAAATAATCCTCTAAATAAAAATGCTAACAATGGACCAGCTAAATCTAAACGCTTGTTACCATAATGATCTCGATCATCTAGTTCACGGCGACCTAGAGATGCCAATAATAAACGATGAACCATGTAACCCAAGAAATATGCTTTTTTAGTTTCACAAAAATCTGAAACACCCACATGAGGTAACATTTCTTTTTGAAGTATTTCTCTAGCATATTTTATACGTTTTTCTTTAGTAACCCCAGGTCTTGCACCTCGAGAACCAATAAAATTCAAAGCAACATTTTGTTCTTGAATAACAAAAGCTTCATCTAAAGAGGGTTTTACCATTTCCATCATTTCAGGATCATCAAAGTCATATATAATATGTTCTAAAATATCTCTATCAGCAACAAAGCCTAATGCTCTGAATACAATCATGATAGGGATTTCTTGCTTAATGTAAGGTAGAATAGCAATTATACGTTGGCCAATAGCAGATTTTTTAATACTTTGTCCACCACGAGCCATCATATTAACCCAGAGAGTAGAAGTAGGACGAGATGAATGTTCCAAGCATGACCGTATCTCTGCTTTAAAAGCAAATTTTCCATCTTTCATGCTAAACACATAAACTGTGTTAGTAGCCATTTTTTCTTGAGCTATAAGAACTTTTTCAGAGCCATTAATGATAAAATAACCACCAGGATCTAATGGACACTCATTTAATTCAGTTAAATCACGATCATTTAATCCAAACAATAAACAATAAGTAGATCTTAACATTATAGGAATTTTACCAATAAACGATTTTGAATGTTGGGTAACTACTGGTTCATCACCATCTTTAAGAACAGTTTTAGTAATATCTACATAAAGTGGAGCAGAATATGTCAAGTTACGAAGCCTTGCTTCATTAGGCATCATTGGTGATGGCGAGCCATCTTTTTCCCAATGGGTGGGTTTAGACAAATAAATTTGTTCAAATTTAATTTGATACTTAGTTGGTGTATCGATTTCACCATGAGTATGTTGGGATTCCGCCTGCAATTCAATTTGTGGAGAATCTTCAACTATTCGCTGTACAGACATTTGTATAAATTCGTCAAAAGAATCTAATTGTTGACGCACTAATCCTTTTTCATCAAAATAAGAATTTATTACTATCCAACATGCTTCTTGCCAAAGTTCACTCGAAATTTCTTCAGTCTCCTCCTCTTCTTCATAATCATCATCTCCCAGATCGTACATTTTCAAATAATATTTCTAAAAATTATTCGAAAAACTGCACAAAACCCATAACACGCTGCGATTTCAACAATATGTAAACTAAACACAGATTAAGCAGTCAACAACGGTTTATATAATATACCAACATCGTTATCATAGTAGATAATACCAAAGAGGATATAAACACATTTTGGGTAATGTATAATTAAAAAAATAATAAAAGTCAAGGTCCATAAACCTTGGTATAAGTCTATGACTATAGAACATGTGTGGATCTTATCACATGATAATTCGACTACAAATACCGTATTTAATCTATGCCAGGATTACTATGTGATTAAATGGTAATGAACTACCTAGATTCCCTGTAATTATATATGCACATGTATATAAAAAGTATGATTAAATTCGCATGTGTATTTAATCTATGGTCCTATAATCTATGAAAAAATAGATCTAATTTTGTCATGCTTCTAATTACTAAATAATATCGCTTCAAAAAGAGTGTTGTCGGTGGGCAGCTTCTCTTCTAAAAATAATCAAGTCAAAATAACAGCACAGGAGGGTCGCGGTATAGTTGGATCAAGTATAATAATATCTGACATTAATTAAAATTACTATCATAAAAAACGCTTCGATGCAAATCTTTAGATAGTGTTTAATTTTAAAAAATTGGTGGATTATTCCAAAAGCTACATGATCTGCTATTTCCTTATTTATATCCTGATTAAGATAAAATATGTCGAATGAAAAAGGGATTATTAAAAAATATTATTTCTCATAAAAAAATTGTATTTATCCATACATTTTCAATAAGTTATAGCATAATAAAGTTAAAATAAAATCGAGAATTTTCACACAAAAATAGCATTTGGTAGCCATTTTAACCGTGAAGATAAAATAAAGTCCGAAATTTTTTTTTTCATCATAAAGTTCATTACATTAGTTTTAATTAAAGATATATATAAAAGTGTCAGACTTTTCGGAACACTTTCAAAAGTTGTCATTTTAAATCCCCCGCTGTGGGCAGGTTAAGTGTCAGATTTACAAAAAAAATATACCAAATGATAAGTAAAGATATCAAGCATTTATATAAAAAAAAATTATATTGATATGTTCATTTTTGAAAAATCTATGGCAGTTTTAAGTAAAAAAAATTGAAAAAATTAGCGATTTTTAAATTTGTAATTTTTTTGGAGGTTTTCCTCATTTACGGGAAACGAGGGAAATTTTTTCAATTTTTGAGGGTAATGTCTTCGACTAAATACGATTTGTGATCTTTTGACATATCGCTGAAAGAAATCTGTTAGGTGAAAGCTAAGAAAGCGGTGACACAAAAAAAAAAAAAAAA